GCCCAACAGCCCCTTCTGCACAGAAATCCTTCCTCAGAGCCAGCCTGACCCTGCCCTGGGCAGCTTGAGGCCATTCCCTCGGGGCCTGGCGCTGGGGCCTTGGCTCCAGAGACTCATCCCCCCTCTCTGCCCCCTCCTGGCAGGGAGTTGCCGAGGGCCAGGAGGTCTCCCCTCAGCCTCCTCTTCTCCAGACTGAACCCCCCCAGTTCCCCCAGCCGCTCCCCAGCAGACCTGTGCTCCAGACCCTGCCCCAGCTCCGTTGCCCTTCTCTGGCCACGCTCGAGTCATTCAATGGCCTTTTTGGGGTGAGGGGCCCAGAACTGAACCCCCTCAGCGAGGGGCGGCCTCCCCAGTGCCGAGCCCAGGGCTCAGATCCCTTCCCTGGCCCTGCTGGCCACGGCACGGCTGGCACAAAATGTTTGCACGGAGCTTTGTTCATGACCCCATCAGCCTGGCGCTCACTGGGAGCATTTGAAACATCCCCCGACAACTCACCTTGCACAAAGATCTGCTCCCGGAGCTCCGGGGAGAGGTGGCCAACGGGGAGGCTCAGGTAGATGGCCACCAGCCAAAGCACGTGGGCTCGCAGCAGGTACCAGACCTTTGTGATTTTTTGCAGAGCTGGGTTCTGAAGCACCTCCAGCAACAGGGCAAGACCCTCTTCAATCTGCAGAGGGAGACAAATAAGTCATAGTTCTCGGTCTGGAGTGTCTCCGTGCCCAAGGTCTCTAGCGAGAGGTGTTGAGGTAGCCAGATGGAGCTGCTGCCATCTCCTCTTGCCCTGCTGACACTTTTAGGGCAGAAAAGGGCTTTTTGGAGCCTTACCCTACGGTTGACACAGCACAGCTGGCTGCGGAGCAGAAGGCAGGTTTGCTGCAGCAGCAGGTAGGAATCGTCACCGCTGTCACCTTTCTGCAGGCAGGACTCGGTCTCCTCCAGGAAAAGCTGGAAACCAATGTGCCAGCGTGAGGGCTGCGGCCTCGGGGACTGGCCAAGCTCACCCCCACTCCCCTTCCCTCCCTGCCAGACCTACCTGGGCGTAGCTGGGACACTCCAGCTGGAAGAGCAGCTTGGTGACCTGGCACAGGGCGCTGGCCATGCCCAGGCTGTCCCCGAGGGCGTCACACAGGGCTTTGGCTAGCAAGTAGCTCTCCAGGGCTTGCAAGGGCTGGTGGCAAGAAAACCCCCGTGGTGACGCTCAGAGACCACCTCAGAAGGTGCCCCAGGGAGGCTGCTAGCCCACTGACCACCTCCCCAGCAGCGTTACCTTGGCCATCAGCTTGTAGAGAGCTGCCAGGAGGTGCAGGGAGGTTACGGTCTGCTCGGGGCTGCGCACGGCCGGGACGCCCGGCGGCGTCAGGAGCTGTTTCCACAACGCAAAGGCGTCGTCCAGGCTTTGGCACAGAGCTGAGGGTACATCACGGGTCTGAGACACCCTGATCCAAAACCGGGTGCTCCCAGAAAGCCTCTGCACCCAGGGCCTGAGCCCACCCGCGTCCTCACCGCGCTCCGTCGCCAGGTTGAAGGAGATGCCGCTGTGCAGGAACCCCTCCTCCAGCTGCCTGCCTTCGTAGTTGAGGTCGTTGGGCTCAAAGTCTTCCAGGTTCTTCAGCCCCTGAGCTTTGACTATCTGCTCCCTCTCGATGCTCTGCAGTGGAGGAGAAGGCAGCCGTGAGGCACATCAGGAGCCACCACAGGGTTTTCAGCAGGGTCTGGGTGGTTTTTGGTGGCCCTGGTGCAGAGCTGAGCGGTGCCAGCAAGGCCGAGGACACCCCAACATGTGCACGGAGCCCCACAGTGTTTCCAGTTCCCATTTCAGCACCCCACAGCCCCGCTCCGTCACCCACCTCCTCCAGCTTGGACTCCAGGGTGCAGATGTAGAGCCAGAGCAGAGCCTGTGCCCGGTCATCGAGGAGCCGGTCGTGGTTCTGGGTGCTGCTGGGCACCAATTCCAGCAGCCGCAAGGCTTCACGGACCGAGTCCAGGGAGGAGCTGTGGGGAGAGGGATTAGAAACAGCCTTCAACCCCCAAACCCCTGGAGCATTTTAAAGGGGAGGGAGGGATGGATACACCCCAGAACCCCAAACAGAGCAAAGAGCCAAAGCAGCAACACTCCAAGGTCACAGAATCACAGAATCATCTGGGTTGGAAAGGACCTTGAAGATCATCCAGTCCAACCATTAACCCAGCACTGACAGTTCCCAACTCCCCCAGATCCTTAAGTGCTAAGTCAATCCCACTCTTCAACCCCTCCAGGGATGGGGACTCCCCCCCTACCCTGGGCAGCCCATTACAACACCTAACAAACCGCTCTGTAAATAAATACTTTCTGACATCTAGTCTAAACTTTCCCTGGCACAACTTGAGGCCATTATCACTTGTTGTGTCCCTTACAACTAGGTTAAAGAGACTCATCCCCCCTCTCTGCCCCCTCCTAGCAAGGAGTTGCCGAGGGCCAGGTCTCCCCTCAGCCTCCTCTTCTCCAGACTGAACCCCCCCAGTTCCCCCAGCCGCTCCCCAGCAGACCTGTGCTCCAGACCCTGCCCCAGCTCCGTTGCCCTTCTCTGGCCACGCTCGAGTCATTCAATGGCCTTTTTGGGGTGAGGGGCCCAGAACTGAACCCCCTCAGCGAGGGGTGGCCTCCCCAGTGCCCAGCACAGGGCTCAGATCCCTTCCCTGTCCCTGCTGGCCACGCCAGGGCTGGCACAAGCCAGGATGCCGTTGCCCTCCTTGGCCCCCTGGGCACACTCTGGCTCATTCTCACCCCCCCAGTCCCTCTCTGACCGGCAGCTCTCCAGCCACTCCTCCCCAGGCCTGTAGCCCTGCTGGGGGCTGTTGTGGCCCAAGGGCAGCCCCCGGCATTTGCCCTCAGTGAAACTCCCCCAGTTGGGCTCAGCCCAGCGCTCCAGCCTGCCCAGGTCTCTCTGTGCAGCCTCCCCACCCTCGAGCAGACCAACACCCCCACCCAGCTGGGTGTCATCTGCAAACTGACTGCGGGGACACTCGATCCCCTCCTCTAGAGCATCAGTAAAGATGTTAAACAGGAGCAGCCCCAGATCTTTCCAACTCCCCCTGCAGACCCTCAAATGCTCCTCAGGGGCTTTCAGGGACACAGGGGGGACGGGACTCAGGCGCGCTGGCGTGCACCCACCAGTCCGTCTGCTGGGCGTAGCTGTGGTAGCACAAGACCTGGGCCAGCTCCGTCAAGCCCACGGCTCGCTCGTGCAGGCGACCGCTCTCCTCCGAGCAGATGGCCAGCAGGTCGCAGAGGACGTTGTAGCGTTCCTGCCCCGTGTCAGCTCGCAGAGCTTTGTAGGCTTTCAGCTCCGCAAAGAGGACAGTCACCATGGTCTCCGTGTCCAGGCTGTGCCCCTCCAGCCCTTCCTTCAGGGTTCTGGGAGAAAGGGGAGGCATAGGGGGGGCTCAGAGGAGGGGTGTAGGGACCCGGGCACATCTCGCAAGGAGAAACCCCCTCATGTTCAACAGCTGCTCGAGACAACACACAGAGACACAGAGACAACCCCACACGCAGACACCCACAGAGACACACACACACACACACCAGGGAGCCCTCCGGGTCTTACCGTAACCGCAGCTCCTCGGCCCCCTGTTTCACAGCATCCATTTTAACTCGGACCCAGAGGGAAACGGGCTCTGCCAGCAGCTCCCCAACACGGCCCCGCAGCGCCACCAGCCACCGCACCACCCATGCCAGGGCTCTCTCCAGATGCCCCAGCTTGCGGGAGCTTTCCACCTGCAGCCGGAAGCATTTGTGCAGCTGCGGGGCAAAGCATAAAGAAACCAGCCTCAGCGTCCTGTGTGAGCAAACGTGTCTTGTGTCCCACAGCCCCCTTCCCTGCCCGGGCCAAGGGGAGACCTCGGAGCAGGGAGCTGGGGCTGTTCCAGGATAGGAAGCAATAGGCCCTGAGGGAATGGCCTCAAGCTGCCCAGGGCAGGGTCAGGCTGGCTCTGAGGAAGGATTTCTGTGCAGAAGGGGCTGTTGGGCGTTGGAATGGGCTGCCCAGGGCAGGGGGGAGTCCCCGGGATCCCTGGGGGGGTTGGAGAGTCGGGCTGAGCCAGCGCTGAGGGATCTGGGGCAGTTGGGAAGGGTCAGGGGGAGGCTCATGGTGGGCTGGAGGAGCCTCAAGGGCTCTTCCAACCCAGATGATTCTGGGAGCAAAAGCTGGTCCCAGCCTCAAATTTCCTCCCGTGGCACCAGAAGACCCTTTGGTTCAGCCCCGTCTGTGCCAAAAGCCCGAGGCACACGCTCACCCTCTCCGGGAGGATCTCGGGACAGGTGTAGGCTTCGGCCGCCTGCAGGCTCTGGCAGAAGAGCTTGCAGACAGAGCTGGCCTCCTGGTGGAGGTTCTGGTTGTAGAAGATGTAGGCCAGCTTGAACGTGCACCACACTGCAGAAGGGAAACCCAAAGAGTAAATATGGGATGAAGAGAGAAAGCAACCCCCCCTTTCTCCTTGTCCCCAGACTGTCACCCTCCACCCCAGCCCCACCAGTGTGGCAGTGACCCCCCCTCACTCCCCGGCTACACACACCCCGAGCTCTGGGACCACCTTTTGAGCCAGGTTTGGTGCCACCCCCCCCGGCACTGACCGGTGATGTCGAGGTACTTGGCTCGCTCGCCCTTGGGGAGCCCCTCCAGCGCCTGCAGCATCCACCCCACGCTCCTCCCGCAGCTCCTTGTCAGCTGCTCCAGACCCGGCCAGCCCACCACCAGCTGTGGGGAGAGGGAGAAAACCACTGGCAAGAGGCTGCTGGGGACACATAGCCCCCCCCAAGGACCCTCCAACCCCCCCAAGGTGCTGCCTCCAAAGGGAGAAGCTGTTATTAAACTCATACTGATTTCTTCTTAATTTGAGTTGATGATTTTTGGTGATTTTGATAATGATTAGGACTAATCAATGAAATGGAATCTCACAGAAATATCAGTTTTTATAAAATATGGTGTAATATTTTAAGTAGTCATAGAAATATTGTATTTAGTTTAAAGCAACCGTACAGTAAGTTACATTGCTAGACGAGGCGCCATCGTTAGACTGTTTGGTAACAATTTATTGCCCTGTAGACCCGGTGATTTAAAAATCCTATTACGAAAGGGCCTTGAAACATGATAAAATTGCAACGTGAGCCAAAAATCCTTGAGTCAAGGGCATTGGAGGGTCTTTCTTTTAGGTGAGTAGTCTGTGACGGTCACAAAAGCAGCCCCCCCCCGACTCATTTCAGGACTCAGGTGTGCAGGAGCAGAAAGGGGTGGGAATAAGAAAAGGAGTTATGGGAATTTGCATGTTTATGTACTTGATTAATACATCTGACTGTACCCTGTATGTTCAGCATGTTACAAGGGTCAGGTGTTGTTGGTGAGACAACTACCCTGCACACCCAGCCGTTAATAAAGGAGTTTCTGCTTATCTACACCTAATTGGTGTCAATAACTTCTTTTATCCCCTTTCGGTGACAAAGCCACCCAGCACCACGAAGGTCTCATCCACCCC